CTACTGGTACAGCGTCCCCCACGACCGCCTGTTCCTCGACGCCCTGGAGCGCGATCTGAAGCGAGAGAAGATGGGCCAGGAAGCCACCACTGTCGCCGTCAGCGAGCCCGCCCTGTCCTTCCAGTACGACTCGTCTCAGTCGCTGTACGAGCAGCTCACCAAGGCCCAGCAGGCCAACTCTTCTTCCTTCAACGCCCAGCAGGTGACTTTCTCCCAGTCCCAGTCCACTTCTCCCGTCATGAGAGCCATGGACTCAATGCCTCCCCCGCAGATGATCCCCCAATCGGTGGCCCCTTTAGCGGATGGCATGGAGGCGATGGTTCCCTACGGAGCGATGGGAATGCACCAGCAGATGCCTCCTCAGCAGATGGTCAAGAGGGAGCCTGATTTCGCCCGCGTCCAGTACAACCAGAACGGCGTTCCCATCACCCAAGGCCACCAGAGGCACGCCTCTATGCCCGCCTACGGTCTCGAGTACTCGCCCGCTCCTTCCTTCGTCTCCTCCCAATACGAGGACTACAGCAACCGGGGCATCTCCTTCGAGCCCATCACCCCTCCCCAGCAGGCCCTCGGCATGGCCGCCGAGCCCGCCTACATCGCCAACGAGGAGACCGGCCTCTACACCGCGATCCCCGACCACATGGGCGCTGGTGTCAACGGCCTCAACGGCATGATCCAGCTCCCCCCCTCCAACCTCGCCGGTCCTCAGTTCTCCAGAGCCTACGGCACTAACAACGTCTACTCTGTGATTGAGGGCTCCCCGACCTACAAGCAGAGGAGACGCCGTTCTTCCATCCCGCCGTCAATGTCCGCCATTGCCGCTGCAACCGCCCAGGCCCAGGCGCAGGCTGCCGCTCAGCAGCAACAGCAGCAGCAGCACAGACCCTCGGATCTCCGGCGGTCAGTCTCTGCATCTGTCGGCCCTGTCGCTGAAGGCGACGAGTCTGCAGACAACTCCCCTCCCGGCCTTGCCTACAGCAGCTCCGCCATGTCCATGGTAAGCCAGCAGCACAAGGAGATGCTGGAAATGTCCCGACACGGCACCCCGCTGTCCACTGTCGAAGGCAGCCCAGCACTCAACCCCATGTCCCTTCAGCAGCAAGACTTCTCCCACCTCACCAATGACGACTTGTCCGGTGATGGTTCTATGAACGGCGCGTCGCGGCCCGGCATGCAGGGCCCGAACGGCGTCGTTCGCAGAGCCCGCTCCGCGACCGTCATGGAACTTGGACCCTACCCCCAAAAGTCCCACTCCTGCCCCATCCCCACGTGTGGCCGCCTCTTCAAGCGTCTCGAGCACCTCAAGCGGTAAGAACCAGATCTCATTTTCATTTGTCACCAACCATAAAACGACCTGCCTGAAATCTAACCAAAACCTCCAGACACGTGAGAACACATACACAAGAAAGACCCTACATCTGCCCTTATTGTAGCAAGGCATTCTCCAGATCAGACAACCTAGCACAGTATGCCCCAACTTTCCTTGATATCATTTCCTTTGTCATTTCCTTTGTCAGAAGAAGATGTAGAGTGTGGAGCGACACCCCAAGCGATCAAAACCAACGTCCAACCGCCACGACACAACACAACACTACACATCATCGCAGCCACCAACGTGGGGGGACAAGAAACTTTTTCCTAGCAGGACTTGGACTGACCCGAATGCTTCTACAGACACAAGCGTACTCATGATCGTGGCGAGAACGGCGAGGCCGCCCTCAACTTTTCCGGCGAGGAGGAGGAAGAGTACTCTGGCGAGGACCAGCTCGGCTCTCTTGAGGAGGCCTCTCCTAGCTCCGAGAACGCCTACGTCACGGCCTCCATGAACGGTGCCGTCAACAGCTCGTCAACGCCCACGTCTGCCGGCATGGCACCGGCCCCGACGTTCAACAGCCTGCAGACGCTCAGCATGCCGATGACCATCAGCCAACCGGCAGTCAACGCGAGCGCTATCATGTGAGACGGCAACTGAGCTTTAGCTCTCATTACGACTGGAGTTACGTTTCTTCACGGTGTTCTTTAGAGTGGGCGGCATGGCTATGACAAACGGTTCGGAAACGGTCTGGGACTTTTCATTTTTTCTTCATTTATCCAACCATGGATTTTCGGCACGCGTTAGCGACTGGACACTTGCTCCTTTGGCACCGGGCGATTTTTTTTTTTTTTTTTCCCTCATCGTTTGTTGTTTTCAAGTGTTCAGCATCATCGTCTGGCCTCCGGTGCCAGGCGAAAACCAAAAAGGAAACCCGCACACATAGATGCGCACCGAGAGACTGGGAAGATCTCGAGCGTTTTGTTGTACCCATGGAAAAGAGAGTTTCATGCATGAGCTTAGGGTCGCGATGCGAAGACGAGAAACGACTCGCACATGTATATATAGTTTGTTTCTTTTCCTTTGTGCTGGAGAGGCATGTTTGAGAAGAAGCAAGCTTGCCTGTATGGCCAGATGATACCAGGGTTAGGAGGAGAGAACTGTGTCGGCGACTCTATGAGTTCCGGACAGGCATGTCATGAACAGAAGCAGAGTCTGGAATGCTGATATATGTTGATCACACTGATTTGTCCCATGTGATGTTTGATTATGCCGTGAATGATGTCTGTGAACCCGAGACTCTCATCATGCATCCGTGAGTCGTAATGCGAATACTGGATGCATTCGATCATGTTTAATAGGGATATTACAGAGGTACTTTGAACATAGATAGTCGACATTAATATCTAGTGTAATCATCTCCGACCACCCCTTCCACCCCTTCCGCCTCGTCCACCTCTCATACCACCACCACTACCCTCGATACTCCTCACGTCCCTCTCGCTCAACGTCAACTGCGCGCCCCTCATGCGTCCCACAGAAGGCCCGCCAACGCTCCGCTCTCCCCTGCCGCCTCCGCTCTTCTTCTTGGGCGTGGGCGCCTCCCTCTCCAGCACGACGCCATTCTCCTTTGCCTGCCTTCTGCGCGTGGTCTCGCGCTGCGCGGCCTTGGCGACGATGCCCTTGCGCTGGGCCATGGGCATCTTATCCTGCTTGAAGAGAGAGGCGACGCCGGGGGCGAGGGATTGCATGCGCATGTCGAGCTGGCGCTGGCGGAGTTTCCCGGCTGCGAAGGATTTGGGCTCGGAGGAGGTGGAGGAGGTGTTGTTGTGTTTGGCGAGGAGGTGGGATTCGGAGAGGAGGCGTTGGAGGGCGAGGTCGTTTGCGAGCATCGACTTGTCGTTTTCGTCGTCTTCGTCGGCGGCGGGTTCGGAGGCGGGTGTTGTTGGGTTGGGGTCGGTTTGGGAGGGAGGTTTGGAGGACTAAGTGGTTGAGTTAGCTTGGTGATGGAAAGGAGGGAGGTAGGTAGGGTAGCGCACCATGAAGGCTTTGAGCTCTCGTTTCGACATGCTCGGCGCCGGGAGGGGCTTGGACGAACTGTGGTCCACCACCTCAACCACATTCTCCCCCTCGTCGTCGTCTTCCTCGTCTTCTGTGAGAATATCAGCGCCCTGGACTCCCTTTTGCGGTTCGAGAGCTTCGTCGACATACCATCAGACACCCCGCCCCATCCGTCCTCGTCGTCAACCCCGACATCCTCATCCAGATCCTCCTCTTCCTCGTCATCTTCCTCCTCCTCGCTCTCCGCAGCCTCGGCCGCCGCCCTGCCCTTCTTCGCCTTGCGCTTCGCCTTCGCCGTGCCAGGGAGCGGCGCGAACGCAGCCTCGAAGTGCTGTCTGAAAATCTCCTGCGCGTCCATCATCGCCTCGTCCTTTTGCGCCTCGGCCTCTGGTTTCCGGCTCGCTTGCGGCTTTACCGCGCTCGACGTCTTGCGCTTTTTTGTCGTTGCCGCCGCCGCAGCCTTGGAAGCGGCACTGCTGCTCTTCTTCGTCGCCGTCGCAGTGGCGGGTTTCTTAGAGACGTTGGCGGACGGCGCCTTGCGCTTCCCTAGTACTGAAGCCATTTTGTCGTTTCCTCCGGCCCTGTTTTTTTCTCTTTTCGCTCGGGGGGATAGTATCAGGTCGCGCGGTAGGAAAAAGCCGCAATGGGGTCGTCAAAAAAGGCCTGGTGAGCAGGGGCGTCGGTGGTGCAGGATTCTGCTGAATGCAAAGACACAGGGGAAAAAAGCTATCGCTGCTCGGTGCAGAGACAGAGCGACACAGAGCTCCGAATTGAAATTTTAGCGGGTCCATGCAGCCTCGTCCGCCCACTTTTCATCCTTACCCCAATCCCAGCGTCCTGACTGGCCTGGGGCAGTAAGACACTGGCGGGGGCAGAGCTCAGCCTTGGTGGGATACATTCCGCCCCCCTAGGAAGAAAAAAAAAGGTACATCTCATCCTCACCGTCTCACGAGAAGCACAAAGCCCCAAACCTTCCTACCAAACTGCTGCACTCCTCATCATGGGACGAAGTTTTCTCTAACAAGGCGCGTCCGCTGTGTACGTTGCCTCTCTACGTGTCACATCAAGCAAAAGTCTGTTCATGTGTGGGATGTAGAGGAATACGCAGAGAAGAGCAAAAAGTTGGAATGCCAAGAAACTGCCGGCGTCCAATGATGCTGAAACTTTTGTTGGGCTGTGAACTGGATGAAACGGACAACAACAGAAGAACTACAGATGATGTGGAGGGATGACTGTTTGATACGTTGGTGTCGCTGACGGGAAGAGACGACGAGATCGAATAGTTCCAGCGGCAACCCTGACACACATACACGTATGCGCGCGCGCGTGCCCGCTGGGGGGATCACAAGCGCCAAAGCTACGCTGCGCGCCCAATCGTCACCGAGGTCTTACCCAAAAGAAGCAAAATCAGAAACGGGGGGAGAAGAAAAAGAACTAATAAACACCAAACTATACAGCTTTGACAAACACTGCTTGCTATCCATCCCAAAATCCCCCCGTTTTCATCACATCTTTTCCCCCACTGTTCACACACACCCCTCCCCTAGTTTAAGTAACACACATTCGGGCAGCAGCATCAGCAGCGGCAGCAGCGGTATTTGTAGTAACATCAAGGATGTGATGTGATCTAAGACCGCGCGGCTTCGAGCTCCAGCTCCAGCTGTCTGATCCTCTCGCTCTGGTCCTGAGATCCACCCGCGTTCACCTTGCGCTTCAGACCCTCCACCTCGGCCGACAGCTGACTAATCTTGTCGTTCTGCTTGCCGATGAGCTTGGTCTGCTGCTCCAGCATCTGTCGGATCTGGTCCAATGAGGACTCGATATGGCCCGAGGAGCTGGGAGAGGGGGCAGCCTGCTTGATGGGGGACGGTTGCGATGTGCTGGCGGGGGACTTGAAGGCAGGGGAGTCGGGCTTGATGGGAGAGGGGATCTTGGTGGCGTGCTCGACACGGGCAGGGGTAGCAGCAGCGGGCGCGGCGCGCTGAGCTGGTCTCTGCACCTCCTCGAAGCTCGAGTTGTCGTCTTCCACCTCCGGCTCGGCGGGCTCGTCATCCTTGAACTTGGACGCCATGTTGGCCATGGACGCACCCTGGTCCTTCATCGACGGAGGCGGCGAGCGCGAGACGGGCGCAGGCTCCGGCGCGGGGGCGGGAGCGGGCTTCGGCGCAGGCTTGGCGGCCGGCGTGGGGGCGGAGGCGATCGTAGGGGGCTTGTAGTCGGCGACGACCTCCTTCGGCGCGGTTCCCTCGTACACGCTCTCGAGGTCGATCTTGTTGGGGATGCCGTCCTTGCCCTCAAGCCACTCCTTGGCGCTGACAGCAGGCTTGAGGCCGGTGGCAGGAGGGAAGATGTCGGACTGGAAGGTTTCGGCTCTGCGGGGGACAGTGAAGGAGATGGGCTCGATGTAAGTGTCGTTGACCGTCTTGTAAGCGCGCATAACCTCGTTCTCATGGACCTGCTGGAGTCAGACATTGCGCCGCTGCTTGAAAGGCTGCATGAACTCACGTTAATTCCACGTCTGGGAACAAAGGCAATTCCTCTTTGGGGCTCCGCAGACTTGTACTCGCTAAGGAACTCAAACTTGTCGTTCTCGTACTCAAAGTAACGAATGTTGCCGTCACTGCAGACGCGTCAGCAAGGCTTTCATCTTCATTAAAGCGCCGCACCCAATCACTCACCCCTTTCCAGCAAGGTACAGGCAGTTGGATCCCTCGTCTACACAAAGTCAGCACTTCAGCAATGGGCACTCGGAAGACAGCACCAACCCCAGAAGGGCATGCAGACACCCGAAATGGAGTCCAACATGGTAAATCCTCCAATAGGCTCGTTGCGGCCAGGCTCCCACAGGGCGATCTGACGCTCGCTCATTCTCGAGAAACCGCAAGTCGCGAAACGGTTGTGCTCGCCCATCCACACAGCTCTGCTGTTCTTGGCGCCCGGGTGGCCAGGCGCCTCGTGGACGGGCTTCTCGGCGCGCGCATCCCACACGCGGATCTTCTTGTCGCGGGAGGTCGTGACCAGCAGGCTGCCGCTGGCGTTCCAGGACAGACTCTGCACGATGTCATTGTGCTTCAAGGAGTGGGTGGACTGGCCGGTGCCAATGTCCCACAGCTTGATCGTGAAGTCGCCGGACGCGGACGCGAGGATGTTCTCGGCGGCGGGGTTGAAGAGGACCTGGCCAACCTTTCTGTACGTCTAGCAGTCAGCAACTATAGCTCACAGG